AGCAGCAGCAGCAGCAGCAGTAGCAGCAGTAGCAGCAGCAGCAGTAGCAACAGTAGCAGCAGTAGCAGCAGCAGCAGCAGCAGTAGCAGCAGTAGCAGCAGCAGCAGTAGCAACAGTAGCAGCAGTAGCAGCAGCAGCAGCAGCAGTAGCAGCAGTAGCAGCAGCAGCAGTAGCAACAGTAGCAGCAGTAGCAGCAGTAGTAGCAGCAGTAGTAGCAGCAGTAACAGCAGCAACAGTATATATTATAGCATCAGTATATATATTCCCGTTCCATATTGTCCTCTCCTTTCTTCCTCTCCCACTGTCTCTCGCCCTCTCTCTCGCTCTCCCCCCTTTTTTTCTCTCTCTCTCTCTCTCTCTCTGTCTCTCTCTCTTTTTCTTTCTCACAAATCTCTCTTCCTCTTTCTGTCTTGATCTTACTCTCTCTCTATCTTTTTCTCTCTCTCTTTTTTTTCTCACTCTCTCTCTCTCTCTCTCTCTCTGAATAACCCCTCTCTTAAATGGCGTTACTGCAATCTTTTATACTATATGAATGCTCTATATCACCGAGTCACGATGTGGATTTTACTACTTGCCAAATTTCTTATGAGTTGAGTTCGTGTGAACTAATAAATCCAGCCATCGCTAATAGTAGCATTATCGCACCTGTCATTTTACGTTGACTCACCCGATAAACTCAACTGTCTACCTACCATCCCGCCACCCCGGCTCGGTCACGTAGCCGCAACTGCAGACCATTCTTATCAAGCAAGCAAACGATTTTTTAGTCGTAAACGCAGAAGATGTTTGCTTGCTTGATAAGAATAGTCTGCAGTTGGGGCTACGTGTGTGTGTGGGTGGGTATTTGAGTTTGCATGTGCGTGCGTGCCGACATGCGTTCGGGCGTGCGTGAGTGTGTGCCTGTATGTGCGCGTACGTGCAAGTGTGCGTGAGTGAGTGCTTGCGTGCGTCATAGCAGTAGCAACAACAGCAGCAGCAGCAGCAGCAGCAGTAGCAGCAGTAGTAGCAGTAGCAGCAACAGCAGCAGTAGCAGCAGTAGCAGCAACAGAACTGTAGCAACAGAAGCAGTAGCAGCAGCAGCAGCAGTAACAGCAGCAGCAGCAGCAGTAACAACGGCAGCAGCAGTAGCAGCAGCAGCAGCAGCAGTTAGTAGCAGTAGTAGCAGCAGTAACAGCAGCAGCAGCAGCAGCAGCAGTAGCAGCAGTAGTAGTAGCAGCAGCAGCAGCAGTAGAAGTTAGTAGCAGTAGTAGCAGCAGTAACAGCAGCAGCAGCAGCAGCAGCAGTAGCAGCAGCAGCAGTAGCAGCAGCAGCAGCAGTAGAAGTTAGTAGCAGTAGTAGCAGCAGTAACAGCAGCAGCAGCAGTAGTAGCAGCACCNATGTAGCATCTGATGTCCCATTTGAAGGTGTTAGTATGGCAAAGAGCCAATTCCAGGAACATCCTGTGCAAGCAAGGTCTGTATTATTCTGTTTCACTGGTTATTGTAATCCGCGTGAGCGAGATAGGCATACTTAAAAGGAACTTCCTTGAACAGTGTTGCTATAGGTTGCTCAAGCTAGACCAGTTTGAACATGGTTTTCATGCACACACACCAAATTGCCTACTTTGTGTCACTATTTTGCCAAGCATTATCTTTTCGAACGGTTTATCACAAGCGCTAGGCCAGGCAGATAAGTTCTTACATGTACTTACTACTCTGTTGGTGGCGAGGCTAGAGGTTGCAAGTTCTAGGCTGCTGTTCCTCATAGTTGGATTCATCTGATGGTTTTGTTCTTATAGATATAAAAAGGAAGCTGCACAGTATACACCGCACCGTGAACCATTTGAAGCACATACGACAAGCAAAGATACTTTCACAGGACCGACAGCTGCTAGACAGAAAAGCTTCAAACCAGAAAACAAACCAGTAGCTTCTGGTGTCCCATTTGCAGCTGTTAGTACAGCAAAGAGCGAATTTCAGGAACATCCTGTTCAAGCAAGGTCAGTATTATGTTATATTGTAGGTGTCTTATGCAAATTGATATGAATATCTTTGTAATAAGAGAAATGTGTACGATTGGTTTATGATTATGTAACATAAGTAAATGTAAGGTATGTATATATCATAATGTAATGTAATTAAGCTAGTGTGAAATAATATAGTGTTATGTAATTTAATAGAATGTAATGTAATGTGATGTAATCATAATCTGTGTAACTGTTACAGATACAAGAAACAGGCTGCACCATACACACCCAACCCTGTGCCATTCGAAGGGCATACCACCAGTATGGACACCTTCACTGGACAGTCGGCTGCTAGACAGAAGAGTTTCAAGCCCGAGAACAAACCGTTAGCGTCGACCGTTCACTTTGCTGACAGCAGCACAACGAAGAGTGAATACAAAGAACACCCGGTGCAAGCAAGGTGAGGCATTTAACCCTACGTGCCACTAGAAAGTCACTGATAACCGGTGACACTGCAAACACACATCTAATCAGGGTACGTGGTCGAACAGATGCATAATCCTCACAACAAGTTCTAACTCTGTTACTATTCGTGTCATTTGTAATGTGCCTGAGCTGAAACAGTGACTGCATAGGGTTGGGGTTCGCGTGTGTAGACGGCAAGACTCCACAAAGTAAGTTCATGTAGTTTTAATCGTAACACGGCACAAAACTGTAATGCCAGAAGGGTGTAGTCTTATTGTAGTTCTTCATAATAATTTTGTTATGATTAGAGGCTAGGTTACACAGATCAAAATTGCTTGTTGCTAATCTGTTCATGCTGCTTAGTAATTCGACTTTACATGTGCAATTTATAGGCAATATCATGAACATATATATCTATACAATATTTACATATACTACCATCACACATTGTATAGGTGTTCATAGCAATATACATATGTATTTAACTTTCTATCATACTGAGTTTCCTGAAAGTGAAACTGTTTTTAAACCGTATATGAAATATATGCTAGTGCACTGCATTGAATTAGCAGCACGTACTGTTGCAGTTTGCACGCATGCATTATGACTGCATTCGAAGCATTATAGTAAACTACGGCCAAATGAGGTGTTTGCTACTTCACGTGAAAATGTGAAAGGTCTCTCTTTTCTGCTCTATATGCTTTCTCTCCCTACACTACCCTATGCGGGTTTGATAGGGATGTTGTTAAGTGCCGTAGAGCTATAAAGTTGACGCTGAGTCATTCAGCATTGGAATTACTCATTGAGATAAAGATAGAGATAGAGCTTGAGATTGATCTTCTGTTTCTCAATGGTCTCGTTGGTATAAATTAGTGAGTTATCACAAATTTAAATTATAGGAGTTGTATGATTTGTTGCATATCATGATTTTCTAAAGGGTGCTTATCAAATTAATGAGATTCATAAAGAAGACAGCTGTCACAAGTAACTCAAGTGTGGATATATATTTGTGATGCTTTATCTGCGATTACTTTGATATCATGATATTATGTACTCATTTATACTATATATACTACAGTTATAAAGGAATAATTCAAAAGGTAACATATACATACCTGCAGAGTTACTGAGAGAGCTTTTTAGTATATTGAGTATAGCATATGTGTGTTTAATATTATATTCAATATTTGTTTTATGTTTAGTGCAATACAAAGTCATGGCATGGTTATGAATGAATATCATAAATGTATAAGCATATGTGTTCTTCTCATTTAATTTGATATATCGTTTGGCATTGCCATGTTTTAACAGAATAAACATATCATTTTAATTCATTTTTGTATTTATTTTTATTTATTTGTTATTTTTCTTTATTGTTTTGGATAAAAACACGTATATTTAGGATGATGGCTTGATTGAATTGCAGTGGTGGCAGAATCACATTGCATATAAAACTAAACATGAATGATTTGGATATTCATACAAGAGTAAAGCTGGTTATTTTAATAGCCGGTTGGAATTTACAGGCAGCAGAAAGACGCTGCGCAATACACACCAAACCCTGCACCATTTCAAGGGCAAAGCACCACCAAGGACTCTTTCACAGGACAGCTAGTTGCAAAGCAGAAAAGTTTCAAACCTGAAAATGTACCGCTTGCCTCCGATACTCCATTTGAGAGCAGCACCACTGCTAGGAGTGAATTCAAGGCGCATCCAGTTCAAGCAAGGTGCGGGGTAGTCATTTATTAGTGCTAATAATTTATTAAAGTAAAAGCTACAAAAGCTTACTGTGCTGAAAGGTGTCTTCTATCCATTGATAATTGTCCGTTATTCCTCGATCGATTATTGTCCCTTGCTCGTTGTCTATTGTGCATTAATAATTATTCACAGTTCTATACATATCTCAAGAAGAGAAGTTATCATACTGAAGTATGCTACAAACGTTATTAGAATAAGCTACTATTCAGATATTTTCTGGTTGGTCTGCACTAAATCTAGCTTAATTGTATAATAGCCACATTATCTGCTACTGACATTTTTCCAACGGTTGAGACTATACGATTAGCTATATCTCCTGTGAGATACTCTAACTCCCTACATGTGTCTCTTGTTTTTGTATTTACAGATCGCAGCAAGTGCCTGCCGTGAACACACCTAATCCAGCACCATTCCAGGGCCAGTCTACCAGTAAGGAATCATTCACTGCGCAGACAGTTCCTAAGCAAATGGGATTCAAGCCTGAGAACAAACCAGTAGCTTCAGGTGTTTCCTTCGCAGGCCTCTCTACAACAAAGAGTGAATATAAAGAACATCCTATTCAACCAAGGTGAACAGTAACTGAAGTTTAAGTTTTTTTGAATTTTTCAAATAATGACTACCATAGATTCGACATCAAATTTTCATTATATCTAAAAACGTAACAAGGTACCTATACTGTCTAATTGAATTGACATTATTGCTTTCATTATGTGCACAGGAAAAGTAAAGAGATGCCAGAATATAAACTACACCCAGTGCCATTTCAAAGTGAAACCACAAACAAAGAGACATTTAAGGAGCACCCTCTCCAAGCAAGGTACAACTAAAGCAGTGTTTTTAGCTCATCTGACATAGTCAGATGCAGCTTGTAAAATCGCATGAGCGTGCGTCCGTCCGGCCGTGCGACCGTTCGTGCGTCCGTGCGTCAACAGTTGGGCACAAATCTTAACCGCTCAACGTACGGTCACGATATTCGGGATGTGGGGGGGGTAATCCGAAAACGAGTTGGGATGTCGAAGCTGGGGGTCAAAGGTCAAAGGTCAAGAGGTGTAAAAGAAGGGGGAACATTCCCTCTAACTTAAGGTATAGGGAGGAAATGCAGAATTGTGGCACAAATCTAAACGGCTCGACCTAGGCTCGTGATAGTCGGTGTATAGCATCATGGTAGGAAAAGTCATCACTGTGCTGAAATTGGAGGTCACAGGTCAAAGGTCAATGGGGCACAGGGCAGATTTTAGACATTGTCTGAGGACATGGTTTGACGGAGCGATTGAAAAACTTTTTTGTTTCAGCGGTGACCTACCTTTTTTATGGCTTTATTGAAAGGACCATGAAATGTACTTTCCGCTGACATGCAAAGAGTAAGTGTCGGATAACCTTTTGACCCTCAAGAGGAGGGTTAAACATTGATTTGTTGACTGTTAACAAAGGACTGAACTGCTTTTGCTATTATTAGAGCCCATACCTGTGTGAATGTGAGGCTACAGTTGCACAGTTTAATTGCAAAGGCAAATGTTTGTTGAACAAGGTTTACGCTCCTTATATCATATTATTTTCTAAAGCAGTCTGTCTATAGCACCCTGAAGGCTGAATCAGTGAATGCTCGCGTGGGTAGGCAAAAACACGGGGCAGCCCATGGCTGGCACGCTTCTAATCATAATTGTTGCCTGCCAACCTGCAATGCACATGTGTCTGCAATGCATAGAGATTAGGTGGGTGCGAAAGTGTAGCTGATATATTTTTTCGAATTGGCTACGAAAGTCAAACAAGAATAAAGAAGACTTATGTATAAGACGTCTTGCTATGCACAAATGAATTTATCAGCAGAACACCAGACACCAGATGAGCCCTGTCGCACTGCGGCACTTGTTCATATTGAAGACGGGTTGGTAAATCATTTCGTGATTTCTTACTACACTCAGTATGGTTACTAAGCAAATAAAGATGAAACAAATTTTCGTAGAGTGTCGATCACATGTAACATTAGTTTTGAATTCGTTCTCGTATATATGTCTGCAGTTTTTTACGTTCATAGGCGTGGAAAAGAGGTGACACTCTATGAACCAAATCTGGAACCATTTGAGGGCAAGACCACGTCACAGGATTCCTACGCTGGGCACGCAGGACGTAAAGAGAAAAGCTTTAAACCGGAGAACAAATACACCGCTTCCAGCATTCCGTTTGAAAGCACCTCGACAACGATGAGTGAATATAGAGGACATCCAATTCAAGCAAGGTGAGTACATAACCGTGCTAGATTACTCTTTGACGTTACTATGGGATAACTTCTTACTCTACGAGGTCATGATGGGTAGCCAGCAGCGCATCAAACACAGTTGTTGGATGTATTGCAGATGGGGCCTAAATGGAACTGTCTATTACAGGTCAGGCATGAGGTCATAATACAATCAACTGGTCAGTCAATAAATTTGATGGATTTGTTGTGTAGTGCCTATAAAGTATGTTCTATTAGAGGTCAGAAGCATAGGCTACTCAGTAAATTCATGGCCTGTTGGAGGTATCGTTGATACAACCACGATCGTACATACTTTACATACATACTCTTAATGTGTGTATCTCTCTCTACTATACATTTTCTATTGATATGTTCATCATGTAATTCATTATTACAGGTCGAGACCAGAGGCTGCTAAATATGTTCCGACTGCAGAACCATTTCAAGGGCAAACCACGAATAAGGAGACATTTACAGGGCAGGCACTTCCTAAGCAGAAGAGTTTTAAACCGGAGAACAAACCATTTGCTTCAAATGCCCCATTTGAAGGTGAAACTACTGCAGGAAGTGATTATAAAGACTATCACACTCCAATAAGGTAGACAATTGTATAATTTGATTTGAATATAAAATGGACAAAGTGTGTTATTGCTGTTATTTTTCATTGTCTGTTATTTTAATGTGGTATCCTAAATCTGTATATTCTACACGTTTAAATTTGTACGTCCTGCATGGTGAATGACGATTTTATGTGCATATATCTGGCTGCATGTCTTATTGTCCATACTTGTAACACTAACAGGGTGTCAGAATGTTATGTATCGTACATATGTAGACATGGAATACTAATAAACCAATCTAGCTCTGTTCCGACGGTGGTCTTTGTAGGCCACAAGGGGGCGCCATACATGACACTTCAACCTTGCCACCGTTTCACGATCAATCGAAGCCGAAAAGCTTGAGGTCTGTTAAGAGTGAGCTCGTATCTGTTGCTCCAATTCATCTGGCCACTACCAGAGACAACTACAGAGAACATCCCGTTCAGCAGAGGTTAGGGTTATGATGCATTGTTTTTAATACCAAATATAATGTTGTTTGTATGCACAAAGGTTTCATTGCAATGACTCTAAATAAATTCAGTGAGAGCGTCTATTGTTTTATCAATATCCACCTGACATGATTGACAGGAAACTAAATAATAACTGTTGCGGGGAGATGTTCTAAAGACAGTGCTTGGTAGCGAAGTGGTGCAAACATGCACATATTCATACAAGTCAGGCAAACTGATAATGATAACTTGACCAATCTGATGAGGGGTGCAGGAGTATCTTGCCGAACTTTAGGTGTATGGAACTTCAGAGGAGTCTCCTTTAGTATGATTTCCAACTTCGTGCTTCTAGACCAAGACGAGAATTGGTTGAATACCAACCGAATCCTGTTCCCTTCCGAGGTGAGACCACGAGTAAAGAGAGCTTTAGAGGTCAGACTGCTCCCAAACAGAGGAGTCTCAAGCCGAACAGCAAGCCAGCTAGTTCGTATCCCCCATTCGATGCCACCACCGTGTCCAGGTCGGATTATCCGGACCCTCAGTTTCTGCCAAGGTAAGCGAGGAACTGTATTGATGAGATGACGCCTATTGTTGTATTCTATTTATTCTTGACGTTGTCCCGTGTTATATCGGGGAAAATGTTCTTGAGACTTTTACTGCGCACCATAAATTGGCAACAGGGATAATATATAACATACTAATATTACGGTTATTTAATAATAATAATAATAATAATAATAATAGTCATAATAATAATCATAATAAATTATGTTATTTATATATAAGCTATATGTTTGTATATATAACATTATACATGGGTCACTATGTATGCATGTAAAGCTATACCTCCCCAGTTTAAACTGCCACTGTCTTATCAACCATAGTGACAAGAATAAGGATGTATAGCTATCTCAAGTTTTTGGCAGAGAGTACACGGATCTAATCGGAATAGAATCTAATCGAATCTAGTGCGCGATTTTGGTGTGCAGTCCATGCGTGTGGTTTTTACGTGATCGGTTCTCCCCCATTACAGGCCACAGAAGCGAGCCACCGACCAGCTTCAAGTGACCTTGGATCAAGGTCAGGCATCACGCCGGGAAGCATTCACGAGACAGGCGTCCGCGAAACCGATGTCCTACAAACCTGAACACAAGCCCGTGGCTTCTGGCATACCTTTCACGGCCCAGTCCATGACGCAGGACGACTACAGGGCTCACGGCGTTTCGCCGTACCAGAAGCAACGGGTGAATGTTCCGCCGCGGTTCATCATAGAGTTTGTGCTTGCTCACGCGCTCCTTCATTTGCAATGTTGTAGCAGCGCTGGATGCATTGTTATACCGTCATGAGATTGCACTTCATCAACGCTTTACTTCTACAACACGACGTAAAAATACAGAATTTGGTCTTGGATGCAGTACCTACGTGTGTTAATTATCGTTATGACTACTATTTGGGTTAGGGTTTATGTTACCTCTACGTATTGCAACTCTGTGTTAGAGAAGACCTGTGTGATATTTGTAGGGTATTTTGATTAACTTAGATAGCATGCTTACGTTGGGCCAACGTTGGCATTTGGTTGGCACGGTCACGGTTGGCAATATGACGTTGGGCCAACGTTGGCAATATGACGTTGGGCCAACGTTGGCAATATGACGTTGGGCCAACGTTGGCCCCACACTGGGGGGACGGCGGCTGCCGCCCGTGGT